GAATGGGGAGGTTTAGAAACTGTCTCTCATGTGACTGTACCTGAGTTGATCTGGTATTGCCCTGGGGGTATGTGCCTCCCTGCCATAAAAAGAAGAGTTTGGCAGAGGAAAGCAGGCCAGCTGAGTGAAGCGAAAACATTCCTGTAACATGGGCTGATGTGTCCTTTCTACATTAACTGGGGTACTGCTGGTCAGGATTCTGCGGCCCAAGCTTTTACACAGGCTGACACAGCACAACCCCACTGAGGGGCAATGCTCAGCTCTGACTGCTGCTTGCCTTGCTGTAATGTGCCGTAAGGGCTTGATGAATGTAGCAGGGATGCAGCAGCATGTGCTCCGTCCAGGCAGGTCTGCTTTCCTGGGGGTCTCTTTGCAGGTCTGAGTGAGGCTGCTGGCATGAAGCAGGTTTGATGTGCTGGGACATGGAGAGAGAGGGACAGTGCCTGCCTTGGGGACTGTGCCTTGCTGAGAGGTGCCCAGGGTGTGGTGATTATGCACGCAGCTTGTTTGCAGTCTGTCACCTGTCCAGATGCCTGTCCTGCTCTGTCCTGCACCTGCTGGTTCAATGGGGTTGGGGGACACAACTCCAGTCACTTGCTTAGTGCACAGCCCAGGCAGAAGAGTGGTCCTGTCCTTCATACCCCTCACTTTTATTTGGTCAGAGGTGCCCTGAGTTCCCTGGGTGAAGGTGGAAGCCATGATTTGGCTGGGGGCAGAGTGGGCTCTGAGGAAGGCAGGTGACAGCGGTGACACCATGTCCCCAGTGCTCAGAGGAAGACAAGATGTGGTCTCTGCCAGCCATGCAGTCCCAGGTCTCTATTCCCTTCCTGCCCATGGGCTCTGCATACATGGTAGGAAAGGGTACGGCCTCCTACCAATCTTAATTAAAACCACAGATAACCTGCTCTTGAGCAAGTAGCCAAACTGCTGTAGTGAAAAATTAGAGGATTTTGATCTGTGATTTGTGTGTATATGCAAGCATCAGACCAAGACAACCATGCTTAATTTTGCAATCCTAGATTAACTTTTGTGACCTAATTGGATTAATTTTTTTTCTTTCTGCCTGCTTCAAAATGACTGTCCAGTCATAATAAAAAAATGTTCTGTAATTGCAAAAATAAGACAGTATTTTCTTGTTACTCTAAATTTAAAAAGTGATTCTTTTTATTTCTCATATGCAGACTTAGCAATAAAAGAATAAGGAACTGTACTGCAATATGTATGAATAAAAGTAAAACTCTAGCTGACAGACTTTATTTTAGTGATCAGTTCAATTTAAAACCTCTCAAGCTGGAGGTGTTGGCCTCATTTTTTATTTATTGAAGAAAGGAGCTCCTTGAGGCTTATCCCAGCACTCTAGCAGCTTGGAAGGCTGTTCCTCCTTTAAAGGACTGGGATAATATTTCTAGTGGCATGCCGAAAGTGAAAGCCATTTGTGTATAACTTTCTATTCACCTGAAAAGGACATTGTAGAAAGCTTTGGAGAGAAACAATTTTTTATTGTAAAATCCACTGGAAGGTCACTCTGCTTGCTGCAGGGGTGCAAGTTTCATGTTTTGTTTCTTAGTGCTACTTTAAAATTAATATTCAGAAACCGAGTCATTTAAAATTATGTGCAAAACAACAATTTACAAAGGAATAGAAATTCTGTCCCCCTCTTCCCAGAATTTATGTTTTGTTTCTTAATTGACAAAACATGCATCTTTTATAAAGTGTAGTTGCAGGGAGACAGTGCTTTATGCCTCACCTCATAGATATATGTGCCATTTGCAGTCATGTGGTGTATGAAATGAGTATAGGAGGCGTAGTACTTTGGAAGATTTGAGTATCTCAATGACATGGAATCTTGCACCAGATAGAAATGAGGCTTGAAATTTGTCATGCAGAAAATTAACCCACAAAAACTTTAGAAAGCTGATCTATATGCTAATGTGTTTTAAGAATGCAGTGCAAGCCACTGGAAGAGTGTGAAATGTGAGGGGTGGTGGGAGGAGTGGAGTGGTGCAGGGGGGCATTTCCAACACTGCTTATTGCATCTGGGAATCATGCTAGCTGCGACTTTAGTTTTTACTGATAGAAGCCCCATGGGAGAGGAGAGGGAATTATTAAAAAGATATCTTCTAAAATTGTGACATGTGGGAAGAAATCATGGTTTAATACTGATGCCTTAAGCCCCTAATGCTTTTTTATTTTTCTATTTTTCTACCTTATAAGTTTTATAGGTAATAGAAATAGACTTTAGAAACCCTTTCTCCCTCCTCCCTGTAGCACCCCTCAGTTTATACATTCCCTAATCCTCTCACCCTATCCCCATATCTAGTAGAAAATGTTTAGTCTTTTAGTCAAGGCAGGCCTGTCTTGTTTGGAGAACGCTTGTATCTTGGCCTAAACCGCAGGACAGAGTCAAAGAACTGGGTCACCCTGCTCTCTGTACGCTGAAGATGAGGAAGATGATGAAGAGGGGGTACCAAAAAGCACCCCAGACCCAATTCCGAGAGCCGGGCCAGGGGGTGGACCAGGCCAAAAGTTATAGGGTGGACACACTTAGGATTGGCCAAATATTGTTATAAATGTAACATCCTGGGCACAGCCCGGCGCGCGCCGTGTAACATCTCTATTGCCTTGGCATAATTAAACCCTTTCTTATCTCACCCCAGCTTACGGCTCCTGAATTTTTTTGTAGCACCAACTCAGCAGGCATCAATACACAGCATCTTTCATTCGGAAGAATCTCGATGTACATTAAAAATCTGATTTGTAGGAAAACTACAACAAAACTGAAGCAGAGTCTGTGCAGAGCAGAGCCATGGAACAGAGCCTGCAACCTGATTTCTGAAAACCAAGAGCAGAATGATGCTTAGGTTATGTATCAACACAGCACAAAGGTGGCCTTGCTTCTTGCTACGGATTACTAGATGCTGCTGTGGTGCTGAGGAAGGCTGCAAAGGAAAGGAAGGAGAGATAGATAAGAAACAGGAGGAAAAATTAATGAACAGGATTCACGGACCAGGAAATAGTGAGATGAGAAGGAAAGAAAAGTGATTAATTAGGAAAAAAGTTGAAATGAATCTTTCTCCCTTAGGTCTTTGAGAAGAGGTTTATATAATTTTCTAATCATGTTTTTTTCCCACAACTCATTCATGGTTACATCTTCTACTTACATCAGCCACACCAAAAGTTTACATTTAAGGCCTGATTCATAGAAGCATAGAAATTAACTGAGTGGGAAGGAGTAATTTAATCATGTAACATCATCTACATGTGATCACCTTCATGGGATTAATGAAGAAGTAAAGATCCTCTAGCAGTGTAAGAGGGAAAGGGAACAATGCTTGCAATGTGATGTACGTAGAGAATGTTAAAGAATAATTTTACAGCTCATGAACCTGGCATTCATCTAGAGTCAGATAGTAAGAAGTGATAATTATGGAAAACTGGACAGCTCAGGTACATGGCAGTGAAGTCTGAATAGTGACAACCTTTTAAGTAAACTTCGTGAGACGTGGGCTTTGTTTTAAACCTTTTGGAAAGTTCAATCCCATCATCTATCTCCATTCAGGGAGATCAAAGAAATTGATCTCATGTGCTGTAAACAGCTGGGTACATCATTGTGGTGAGGAACCCACAGCTCTAAAGGGATGTACCTGAACCAAATCTAAGCGGCTCGGGATATACACAGCTCTTAACATGTTTTTGCTGTGTTTAGGATGTGCTGTACCCGAGAGAGAGGTAGCTCACCCTGGGAGATGATGTGGGAAGGATGGAGAAAAAAGGACAGACAATACATGCATAGTTATTCCTCCACTGCCCATGTTGACTGTTTTCCTTTCAGGAAGTGTATCAGAAGTGGTTTTGAGAAGGAAAAAAAATCAGCTGCAAGGAATAGGAGAGTGTGGCAAGTGCCTCCAAACCTTTTGTAAAAGCAGCAAACAACATAAGAAAAAAAAATGTTGTCAACCAATGGTGCCAGACTAGCAAAAGTTTTTATTCTCATGATAAGATAGGTGATTTCTGATCAAGTTAAACTGTTTTAAGTAACCAATCCTTTATATTGTTCTTTACTTTCATTCTGAGCATGGGCAAAACATATATCTTCATTAGTCTAGTGGCATTTGTTGGAAAACACAGCTCTGTGTTTAGCTAATGACTTAATTAGAAAAGCAGTAGTCAGTTGGCAGTGAATGGTGAGTCTTTATTTAACAGGGAAGCACGGAAATTAGCCATCCATCTGTTTTTTCCTGTTAATTACCTCTAAATATTAAAATTGAATACAGCCTTCAACCTGATTGGTAGTTTGAGTGGTAATAGTGGAGTTCAGATACTAAAAGGAAGACATCAGAAGAAATTAAGATGATGCAGCACCTGTATTTTACAACTTTCATACATATTGCTGAAGCACTTCTACCTACCTAGGACAGCTGCTGTGGAGGTCATGTTCACCATTTCTGGCCCTTCAGCCATACTTACAGCTTTAAATGAGCATCAGTCTTGGCAGCAGAGTTAACTGAGCCCTTACTTTTCCACAAGAAACATGACTGCACACCACATAGCAGCAGCAGTGCCAAGCTGTGGGGTTGGTGCCACTTTGAGGTTTGTTTTTAGTAGGGGGGTTGGACTAGTTGGCTCCCAGAGATCCCTTCCAACCTAAATTATTCTGTGTGCTGATATGCCCTTAGGAGCAGCAGTCAGAGCTGGCAGCCTATCTCATTTGTTGATTTTCCACTCTGAAACACCCTTCACCAGCATTGCCACTCCCACCTCTTCCTTTCTTCTATCAAAGACCCTTGTGCAGCCCATGGCTGAACCTTAGCCCCAGTGACAGCCCAAGGAAGCTGGCTGGGGTATAGCTTCTGCCTCATCTTAGTTGAGTGCCTTGGGGACTGTCTGCTGGGACAGTCTTGCACATTTACTCTTCCCTTTCTGACCATTATTGCAGCTGGGCACCCTTGTAGAAGAGCAGGAAATGACTCAAGAGACACCAAAACCTACTCTATTCTTCCCTGTCATATTCACCTTGTTTCAGGAAATTATGCCCAATCCTTTTCTTTGATAATCATTTCCATTGAGCTTGCTGAAAGAAAAAATAAAATTATTCTGCAGCACTTCTTAACAATACTTCATTTTATTTTAATTCCACGCTACTTTTTTTTCCTTAACAGCATAGGTACTCTGGGGAGCTGCTTTGGAAGCTTTATAGATAGGCAGGATAAGAACACACTTCCCCAGTTTCAATCAACAGTTTCCACCTCCAACAAGCTGCAAAAAGGAAAAACAATACAGGATCTCTGTGCTTCCTCGCTAAAAAACATTTTCGGTGACTGAGATTAATTTTTCCCTCTTTTTAGGTATTAATGTTAGCTAGAAAAGATTTCCAGTTGCTTAAGTCAGTGTGGTAAGATCAATCAATACATGGGGTTGTTCACTACAAGGCCCAGGTGAAGTGTGACACAAGTGAATAATATCACTCCAGAACCGACCAAAATGCAAGGCCCGAAGAAATAAGGATAGTGGTATTAAACACGTGACCAGTCAGATGTGCAATTAGTTTCACAAGTGTGACACTTGCTAGCTGCATCCTCTCAATTCCCAAACAAACTGCACAGGTGTCTGCCCAACTCTTTAAAGATAAATCTGGAATATTATATGAAGAGAGTCACCTAAATAATTGCTTTGGAATAAAAATGAGATTAATTTTCAGATGCAATGAACTGAATTTTGCTTTCTGTTTTGGGAGTGTATTCCTGAAGAAAGGAATAGTTTATTCTGCTTCAGCCCAAAGTGGAAATGGTGGTAATTTTCCTTCTAAGTGGCTGTTACTGAATGACATTTAAAGTAAAGATTTGTTGTTTAGCTGTCATGACCATGAAGTGTTTATTTATTTTTGCATATGTATTTATGGGGTTCAGTTTATACAGTGCATGACAATTTAGATGTTGGATTCTTAAATGGAAAAAGTATAAAAGTGAATATTGTTGTTTCCTTCTTGAATCATTGATTACAAAAAATGTCTTAAACATCAGTATCTAATAGTAATAATACCTCTTTTGTTGTTTCATTTCTAAAAAATCTTTTCCTTTGTAGAATAAATGTATTTCAAACCCTTTACCATGAATAACACTAGAGATTAAAAAAACAGCATAACGAATTACAGGCTGACAATAAGTCAAGCAAATAGGCAAACACAAAAATTCCTTTTATCAAGGGAAATGGTGACAAAGTCAAATTATTTTGCTCAATTTTAAGGCTAGGAGTCATGTCAGCATCATCATCTCCCAGTATTTTTATGTATGTTCACGACACCTGATAAGCTTTCTAAAGGCCAGCTTGAAATCCTCGTTGAAGCTTGTGTACAGCAAAGGGTTGATGAGGGAGTTGACATATCCAAGCCAAGTCAAGAAGTCCGCTACTTCTGGAGAGACAGTGCAAATGTGGAGGCCCACAAGCAGTTCCTTGATGAAAAAGGGCAACCAGGACAAAATGAAAGCACCTAAAATCAGCCCCAAAATGCGAGCCGCTTTTCGTTCCCGTGTCGTGGAGATCTGCTGCCGGTCGCCAGCCAGGTCCAAGTCATTCTCGAAAGGTGGGATCCTCACGGATGAGTTGATTTTATCAAACTCTGTGGTCGGGTCAGACGTGGAAAAGTCCGAGACGCAGAATGTCTGTGTGAGCTTGCAGCTGGCAAAAGAGTTTTGGCTGTCTGTGCTCCTGTTGCTGAGGTGGCGGCTTGAACCCCGCTTTTGGTAAAGGCTCTTTGCAGCATGGTAAATTCTATAGTACAGGATCAGGATCAAAGTCAAGGGTATGTAAAATGCCCCAAATGTGGAATAAATAGTGTAGATTACATGATCGTGCTGAATGCGACACTCGCTGGGAATACTGATGCTGTGGTGATTTCTCCAAAACAAAGGGGGCATTGATATGAAAATGGAGATAGCCCACACGGTGACTATCATCAGCCCAGCCCTTTTTGCCGTTCTTTTCCTGGCATATTCGATAGCATCTGTGATTGCCCAGTACCTGTCCAATGCAATGACACACAGGTGAAGGATTGAACATGTGCAACAGGTCATGTCGACGCTAAGCCAGATCTCACAGATGAAGTATCCCAAAGTCCATTTATCTATCATTATGTAAGTGATGCTCAAGGGCATGACGAGAACAGCAACAAGGAGATCTGTCACAGCTAGTGAACATATGAGATAATTTGCCGGCTGGTGGAGCTTCTTGGTTGTGGAGATTGCTGCAATTACAGCAGAATTCAGCAGCATAGTCAAGGTTGTGATTGTGGCCAAGGTCAGGGTAACAAGCATCTTTTCAGTTACTGTTTTTGGCTTTGCAGCCCCACTGGCTTCAGTGGTGCAATTTGTGAAATTCATTTTCTCCTCCAGGATGCAAGAAGGTGCTGCTTCAGGTAATGAAGGGTTGCAGGTTCAGAAGTCGTCCATTTAGAGAGATGTCCCAGGTGCAATTTTTTTTTATAATCCCATATTCAACAGAGCAGCGAAAAGCTTCCAGGTTTCCTCCTGTTCATTGTTTTCCTAGAAGATAAAATCACATCTATTAGTCAATCGAGGATAATCTTACCTTTTGGTACAGAGTTCTACATTTCTAATATTACTATCTCAAATAAAACGTTGGTGTGTTTTTCCTTCTTTTCTCTTCTCTTGCCTTTTCTCCTCCCTTTTCTCTGCAATCATGGTTTACTTTTTTCCTTGTCCAAAGGGCACTTTGGGCCAGATTTCCTGCTGATGTGAAATCGTTATTCCTTCTTTGGTTTTGGAGATTTTACTTAAAGTGGGAGGTTGGACTAAGGGACCTTCAGAGGTCCCTTCTCACAAACATGTCTGTGATCTTTGTGAATTATTGATACCAGGAGCTAGTCCTTTTCCTGCTTGTTAAAATACACTCCAGCAGATGAAGAGCTGAGGAAATTTGCCTTTTCATTTCAATTGCTGTATGAGAGTCATCAATTACTTCTATGTATCACCTTTGAAAAAGAGCAGCAGAGGCATGCCAGCATTTCACAGTTTTCCATCCTGCTTTTTCATATCCATGTCTGTATTAATATATTTGAAACCGTCCTTAAAAATTTCTCAGGTTACCTTTATCATGCAGGTTTCAAACAATGTTTAAAACTTTATGGAGAATACTTAGTTTTACACATCACATCAGTGTTGCTAGGAGCTTATATAGTTTTGTCTAATTATTCCTGACATTTCACATAGCTCACTGTGAGCATCTTTAAAGAAGACAGACAAAAAGATTTTGCCGTTGCTTTGAGATTTCTATCTAATTGTGCTCCCTGTCAAGGAGCCCAGTGTGATGCACGGTATGAACAATAATTTAAAAAAACCCCAATGTTTAATGTTGTTTCAGGAGCTCAGATGTCTTTTCTGTACATCCCAAATGCTGACTGAAGCCAGAGTTAGCAGTCCATGAGATGCAACTTGGGATATGCTCTGGGACTTTGCTTACTCATTTGTAATTTACCTTGCAGAAAGGATGTAGAAAACTGGAAGTCTGAATCTTTTCCCATTAAAATAAACAGAAAGATTCCTTCCCCTGCGATGCCTTAAGGTCCTTTTAGTTTTTTGATTTTTCTAATTTTTAAGTTTTATAAGTAGTTATATAGCAGAGGTAGATTTTAGAAACAGCAGCATGTATTCCTTTACCTTTTCCCTTACCCTTAGCATAGCAGTTACACAGATTCTTAACCCTATTACCCCATTCCATGCTCCCCATATCAAATATCCCCTGAATTCCATTAGAAATGTTTAGTCTCTTGTCAAAGTAGGCCTATTCTGTTTAGAGAACACTTATACTCTGGCCTAAACCGCAAGATACAGCCAAGAACTGGGTGAACGTGTGCCCTTTGTGCTCCAAGGAAGACTACGGGGACAAAGTAGGTGGTCCCAAAAAGACCCCAGCCTCAATTCCCTAGGGGTGGACTGGGGGTGGACCAGGGCAAAAGCCAGAGGGTGGGAAAATCTCGGATGGGACAAACAGTGTTATAAATTGTAAGCACCTGAGGCAGAGGCCATGTGCGCGTCTTCTAACCCCATGCCTTGGAGGCACGAATTAAATCCTTTTCTTGTCTCACCTCTAATTAAATTGCTTTGGAGTTTTTTTTCCTCGGCTCCTTTAAGCATCACTTGGCTTCTTTTATCAAAGAGTAAGGAGGCTTCTCACTGGTTGTACAGGCTCCCTCAACAGGCAGGGGAATAAGATAGCGGCTGCCAGAAATACACTTGTCCCCTCTCAAGACAAGTCTTTAGGGCAGATGTTATGAATCATGTCCTGGAAATGCTGGTTGTCTCTATTTTCACTACAAGTGGCTCCTCCACAGTTGCATTTAGAATACATGCCAGATTTTTAGATGGCTAAATTTGAAAGGTAAAACCCATTCTCACTGACACCAGTGGGACTTGGATTAGGCTCTGAGAGAGGGTTTGCACGTGCAAGCTAATAAGGAATTAAGAAATTGAATGAGGAATTATGAATTTAAAGCTAGTCAACTGCTTAGCTCTGTGTACATATGCTCTTATTCAGAAATTGGAGTGCCATCTTCAGAATGAGCTGAATGAGGAACAATCAAAAATAGAAATTTTAGAGAAAACTGCTATTTGTGGACAGGCTCTAGGAAAGCTGATTTGTACTGTTATAGACTCTGGATTAGCAAAATGTGAGTTTTAAATTCTGCCCAAGGAACAGCAGAACCACCTTCCCCCAAGGCAGAATCCACTGTTAAGAAACTGCTTTAAACTGCTTTAAAATATGAATAGCCTTGGAGAAAATATCAAGCCTGCTTATTAAAAAATGACTGGAGAAGTCAGATGGAAATTCATCCATCAGTCTTCAGGGCTGGAAATGGCAATTTGACTGTTTAGGCCTAAAGTCAAAACTTCAGCTCAAACATTTTCACAAATTGTTCATGGGAGTCTTCTCTGTCAAGCCAGATCCTGATTTCCTTAGTTTGCACCCTGACTACGTCTGATGCTTTGACCAGAGGATAAGAGTTTTCTCTACCTCCCTGAACTCTTGGAGAACAGACTAGAAGCAATTGTAATTAATAAACTTTCCTCAGCATTATCACTTAACGAGTGTAACCTATCCACAAGCACACTGGTCCAAAGACACCTGAAGACACCATGGGATTCTCATGTCCTCCACAATCACTTACTGAGTCAGTCCACCCACAGGAGAGCTCGTGATGCTTCTTGATGTAAGCAGCATTTCTTTTCCTTGTCCTTCACTTCTCTAGGGGCTCTGAAGTTTCATGGTCTTGGCACATCTCCCCATGCTGTGTGTTCCCCACCATTTTCTCTGCTGAGCACTGTCTATATGCATCTTTAATCCAGTAGGAGCTGAATTGCTGTGGTTCTCCCCCAGGATGGCCTTTCCCACCGATACCAAGGGAAATCCTTTCTGAGCTCTACCTGTTCTCTGTACCACAAGGATACTCCAAAAAATAAATTCTTTCTTTCCTTAATTAACCTGTCTTTAAACAAACTTAGTCAGACCAAGCACCAGGTTTCCTTTAGGACAAAGGATACTGCTGATGAAATGGGGGAGTTTGGTTGTTTAAATCTGTGCACTGCTCAGTGGGGCCAACATTTTTTTCCTTGGAAAATCACTGCAAAAATTGAAGACAGGGAAAAATATAAGCAAAACATCACCCTTGCAGAACACCCTTGCAGAACAATTTACAGGTACCTCAGACCAGGCAAGGCCATCGGTTTATGGTCAAAATCCACCACTGTGGAATTAATTCAGTTTCAATTCCCAAGCTCCTTATAGGAAATGAGCCCTTAGCAATTCAAACAACATAAATACCACATAAGAGAATGGTATTAAGCCAATATTAAGAAAGTATATTTAAATGCTGAAAAATCACTTCAGTTTTTAAGGGATGAAGGTTTCTTCTACAGCTTAAGTATGTGCCTCTTGTCATCCCTTACCCACTTAATGAGGATACACACTAGCATTATAACTAGTCGGTTATAATTAGTTGACAGTAAGCTTTGTGGCTCCTTTCACCTGCTGTTCCGCCCTGGCTGCTCCTCTTTCCAGGCCATCCTTATTTCTATATGATCTGATTCCGACTCCTGCCTTACAGAATGCACAGGGTCCCATAGCCCTGGCTATTCGCCTCCCAGCTCACCTCCTGTGCTGGAGCAGCCTCAAGCTCCCTTGACCTGCTGCTGCCAACTCACCCACTACTTCTAGGGGCTCAGCGAGAGCTCATGTCGAGTCTCCCACAGTGCCTGTGTCCCAGCCTCTCCCTCATTGTCCTTGCTTGTCCAACTGTCATCTCTCTACTTTTGAGTCAGATGGCACCTATGTGGAGTATTTTGGCCCAGAAAAGAGATGGGGTTTTAAAATGGGAAGTGATTTACCTGGAGATGTCAATGACTGACCTTGCTTATTAATACAGGGCAGGATTGAAATGCTACATATCATTAATCTTTAAAAATGCAGGTGTGTTTTTGGTCATACCACATGTGTTAACAAGGAGAATCTTACAATCTCTAGTCAAGAATAGCTGGTTTCCAGCATTTCTATCACTTGTGTACAATTGCTATATATACTATTGCTATCACTATAGTAATTGATCGTGGTTTTCTAAATGACATCTTGGAAGGGACACTAATAACAGTTATTTAAAGTACTCTCATCAAAAGCACTGCCATGTTTATGTTTTGCAGCTGTATTCCTTTAGGCTGTCAGTCATTTCCTACAGAGAGGATTTTACACACATAGATTAATTTCCCACATTTGGTGAGAGAAACTCATCTGGGTTCCTCCAAACGGGGATCAATCATGTTTCATATCAGCTGATTATTGTTAATGGCGTTGAGTGCTGTCTAGGAGGAAAAAAGGAGAAAGAGGTTGATTAATTGCCCCTTAAAAGCAACTGGACAATTTTAAGCTGCGAGATGGCAATGTCCATGTCTGTTCCTGCCAAAAAATATCTCCCACTTCTCCGCAGAGGACCACAGTGTAGCAGCATACTCTGAATTTCTGCTGGACACACTGACTCCCACTCCTCGGCCACTGAACTTTTCACCATTTCATAAGATATGGAATAACGTCACTTGCAGAGAACAAGTAGAACTGGCATCGCATGTGTATGAGCAGCACAGGTTAGTTCCTTTACATCCACGGTTCTACATTTCCTCTAAACAATTATGGCACTATACAACTACTACATCTTTGTCCCCTTGACAGCAATAAACCAATTTGACTTTGTTAAATTCTGAATTGGTCTGAGAGCTTTACACTTTCAATATTTCCATGATTGTAGCTGTGAAGGACAAGAATCTGTGGCATGATTTGTGAGACAGCTTATGGAAAATATAACTTAGCACATTTATGATAATGCTAATACTTCAAACTATGGAAAGATGCTAAACTTCCAATGCTCTTCCTTGTTATCTCAAAGAGGTTGTCTCTTCCAAGTTCATATACAAAGCCTGACATTCAGGCCTTCACTTCAAATTTATTTTGCAAGATCTTGCAATTTTCTAGATCATCCTGC